AAGCATGCGTTTCAAAACACCTAATGTGTACACAGTCTTATTAAAAAGTTTTAGAGACTATAATATTATTTTATACAATAAAAATGCAAAACAAAGGAAGAATTGAGTGTATTCCAATCACAAAAACGTTACAGTATATAAAATATGTAGTATTTGTATGTAAAGTGTAGTCAACATTTTTATTTATTTATTTTAAATATTTAGACTTATTTCTGGAATCTCTCAGAAAAAGCTACCTTTACAGAGGACATGAAGTTTTTTTGTCTTTCTATGCATGCAACATAAACTTTAACTGCCAATATCTCAAATTAAGGAGGTATTGATGTAAACGAAAACATTTTTGGAATCATAATTCAGTTTTCTATTAAATATAACTGATCTGATTTCAAAGTTTGGGGTCACAGTACAAGCCTTTTCATTGTCAGTATAAAAAGTACTTTTTGTCTGGCTTTTTTAATATCACTTTTTATTAAGTCAACATATTTATTTACAATTAATTTTAATCTAATTTCTTTGGGTTAGTATAGCTTACCATTCAGCATTCTTAAGCCAGGTATACATAAACATCATACATAGTTGTATTGCTATTATTTTTTTGTAGTTGTGTATGTATTCACAATGGGATCTTGATATAAACACCATACGAGTTTTTGGTACAGTTGAAAAATATTCCATTTACAATTTGAAAACACTGACTAAAGTCATATCATCAAATTATTTCATAAGCCTTCTAAACTATTGGTAGTACTACAAAGCAAAATTATGTTTGTAATATTTGTATAAACAATTAGTTTTACTGTACCTGAAAAATGTTATCATTGTGTACTAATAGGTAATATAGATTAAACTGGTTAATGTTACTTTTAATATTATAGTAATCTTAAATATTTTAGAGATATGAAACAACAATATTGAATACGTAACAGTTTATATACATAATTTATAAGTGGTACAAAACTGTGATATTATTATTGTGATACATATACAGTATACTATTCAAATACAAAATTATAAATATAATAAACTTCAGTTTTATTTACAGTCATACCCCGATTTACGCAAACCCGGAGTTACGCGATTTTCAAATCTCGTCAATTCGTCTTTTGTTTGAGCGCCACGCAACTCTTGATTATTCACTCCCCCCACACTATCGTTCAGCTTAATTTAATGTTCGGACGTGTCGCGCAGAATCAACGCATAACTACAATTTATTTTGTGTAATTTATTTCTGTTTGTTATATCTACAGAGACTTGAGAGTCTCTATGTGGCAATTTCTTGTAACCATGAACGAACCAAAAGGCGAGATAAGATTAACGAGAACATTTATTAGCTTACATACATCCGACTTGGATTTTACACAAAAGGCATCTGCAATCGTGAACAATTGACGAAAAAAGTATACATTTATCAGATAATAAACAAAGACTCATTTTGTAAACAATTTACCTTTTGTATATACAACTGACAAGATTACCTTTCAAATTATAAACAGACTCGATCCCAAGCGGTCTTTTGATCGTCGGACATACAAAAGAAATGAACAGATGGCGCCTAAATTAAGCGCGGTTTACAATAACGAATACGATTAATCTTAACACTCTACTATGTCATCCAAACGAAGTAGAACTGATTCTTCTGCATCAAAGAAGAAAAGAAAAACTTTATCTTTGGAATGTAAAGTTAACATTATTAAAGACTTCGATACAAAAATGAAAATTTGTGAATTGGCAAAGAAGTTTGATCTACCGGAATCGAGTCAGAACAATTATAAAAGATAAAGAAAAAATTCTCGAAGCTGTAAAAAATGCTCAATCTTTAAATTCAAGCATCATTCGTAAACGTCACGGTATTATCGCTGAGATGGAAACAATGTTAAAATTATGGTGTGATAATCAAGTAAATGTGAAAAATTGTATAATAATATAATTTGTTATATGTATGTATTATCTAAGATTTTATTAAACATTTTTTTTCTAAATTATTGTATTCTTTAGTCTCCGGTCCCAATTAAAAATAATTTGTATGTATTTATATGCAAAATTATACCCCGACTTACGCGAATTCGACTTATGCGGTTATCGCTCGGTCCCACCTATCGCGTAAGTCCGGGGTATGACTGTATTTTTTTGCTGCTAATACATATTTTGCCATTATTTGTGTACATAAATTACAAGGTATGGGCCAAAAGTTTCTGGCCTAACTATATTTTAGATGTTATATATATAAAACAATGATGTCATTTTTCAATATAGTCTTTTTGTAGTTCAACACACTTATTACATCTTGGAATTAGCATTTCAATACCCTTCAAAAAGAGTCCACAGTTTTGTATGCAAAATGCTCAAACTGCCTCCTGCAACTGCAACTCTTCTTCACTTTTTCAAAGGTGTTTTTTGAGTTTCAGAAACAGATGATAATCAGTAGGAGCCAGGTCAGGACTGTAAGGTGGATGGTCAAGCTCCTTGAACCCACACTCCTTCACAGCAGCCTTGGCAATGGCAGCTTTATGCACTGGTGCATCAAGTCTAACTAAAATGAATGTTTCCAATTAACTTATGCAAATTGACAGGAAAAACTATTTTATTGGTCCATAGGCAGATGGTACTATCTGATAATATCATTATTTTATTCCTATCATGTTTAAAATATAATTAGGCTAGAAACTTTTGGCACCTCCATGCATTAATTAATAATCATCATTTGATTAATAATTTTTCTATATAAATTGATGGTAAAATAAATATAAATTAGCAGGAAAAAATTAAATAAAACTGAAGTTTATTATATTTACATTTTTGTATTCAAAAAATCTCAACACAACTTTTTCTAAAGAAACCATTTTGGGGGTATCTTCTTCATTTAAGCTCTGGCAAATAAAGTTAGGCAAAATCAGAAATCCCAAGCTTCTCCATCAATAGCACTAATAAGTGTTACTTATTTTGATCTGATGAACAAACAGTTATACTGTTAAATCATCTCCCTCATTAAAACTGTCCAGATGCCTGATTAGTTACATTGTTTTCTCTCCTATATTATTTAGAATTGAAATTGATATCAGAAAGTGAAAATTTCAGAAGATTAGATTACCTTTATTGCCAATGCACATTTGCATTAAATAATGTCATTTTTCTTAATAATAATGAGACACTCATTTTAAAAAGAACAAGAACAGGACGGATGTTTTTAGTCCAAGCTTGACAAAGTTATATATGTTAAGATATGGATAATAATTAGTTTCCCTTTATATATGTACTGTGCAAAACAGTTGTTTATGTTATGTCATTGTAATTCCACTGGCAGATCCAGAGACAAATGTTAACAAGAATGATGCAAAATTCACCCTCGGCAAATTCAAATTATGAAATTTCTTAATTCATTCCAATGTATTACAAAATTTAAAAGATATGACAAATAATAAAAATTTTACTGTAAACAACACACAATATTTTATAATTATTCAAATATTAGTTGTATAGATATTGTGTTTAGAAACATAACGTGCCTACTTTGTTCTCTGTAATTTGTTTGTTCAGTTATTTTATACCTCCAAGTAAGAAACTTTCTGATATAAATACTAAAAACATTACACCTAATAAAGATCAATCATTTAAAGAGAAATATAAATCATAAAAATATTTATTTGAATTTTACAAAGCATCTATAAATTTTTACAATTACAGAAAACTGCAGTGATACAAGCTATAAATTTTTCTTGCATGTATGTTATTTGACTTGTGCAAGACATGCAATATATTTAAAGTTTTGGAGTAAATGTATAAGCTTTTATGGCCCTGATGATTTTCATTTATAAGCTTCTGACAAATTTTGATCCATAGCAAAGGCTCCACTAAGTGATCAAAACTCTCACTATCATCCATCTTTCCATGAGTTACCATGTACTGTACATTATACTTTAATTTTATTAAACAAATTTCAAATTATTCGTTGAAAAAGATTTCCTAATGTGTTTAATGTCTTAACAATAACTATATATATTTGTAACTATAATAAATGATAAAATCAATTGATTATATAAGTTTCAATTTTTCAAATGTGAAAATTAATAATTAATATTAACAAAACAGGAATGCTTGATTTATTATTCAGATAAAAAAAAATAAATTGAATAATTTAAAGTGGTCATTACAGTATAAGCAAGTCAGATATAATATTTAACATTTACTGTCTGTTAAAACTGTCTTGTCTGTGAAACTTTACATTGCTGAGATTGTATTCTATTGACATATATGGGGCCAGAACAGTCAGATTAAGGAGATTGCCAGATTATACAAAGTTCAGACATTTTGATGAGTTAACAATTTAAATATAATAAAAATGTGATGTAATGAATACAGTTAAGAGCAAAAATGAATTGCACAACATGAAGTCAACTGTTAAATTAATGATGCAACAAAATGCAAGTTGGACTACTGATCAAAACATTCAAGCACAGTGCCATCCAGTAATAGATGGTACTGTGCTTGAATGTGCCAAATTGACAGACTGCCACTAAATTTAGTGAGAACTGTAGTTTGAACTAGTGAGAAGCTAGTCTGTGACTTTGCAATAGGGCCTGAAATACCAGAGTTGACTAGTGCCAGATTACTGAATGTGTCAAACTAGCAAATGGCCAGAGTACCAAGACTGTACTGTATTTATCATCTAGCCTGACACATATTATACACTGGTCTGCAAAATTTAAGCAATGATGTAATTTTTAAGCAGACAGCCATGAAATTGTAGAAAAGGCCTTGTTGTGATCAGCACAATGAGCACCCAATTCAGTAGAAAGGTGATTCGTATGCAGGAAGAAGTCATCACAGGTGATGTGAGGGCATGCAAAATATGTGCAGTCAGTGTATGTAGTGCAAGACTACAATAAAAAGGACAAAAGGTGCTGTTAAAGGCATTCACTGCATGTTCAAGTGAGTTTGTATGTGCAATATGGCTAGAAGAAACCATATGTCTCTGTATTTTGAATTTCATGTCTTCCAGGTGATTTTTTTTTAACTCCACAAGAAAACAATTGTTGCTTTTTTTTTTTTTTGGCCATAAGTTTTGATCACCAGTGCATAATATGGTATAAATGAAACAACATAGTTTTGCTTTAACACATTGCTACAATTGCTATATGTTGTTAAGAAAAATTATACATCTCATTCTATTTCATTGCTTTGTTTCCAGATATCAATATCATTTAAGACGAAAAATCTTAAGAAAATAAAATTCAATTGAATCTAATAAGGCAATCAAATTCATATCACATATGTTACCATAATTGATATACATTATAAAATGAAGTAAACAGGAAAAATCACAAATTTCAGATTTAATACTAAGATGATGTATAAATATATTTGATTTTGATTTTTAATAATAAACAATAATATAGTAATACTGAATAATTTTTAAATCAATTACAAGTTTCTAATTTATTATAATTTAATAAAAAAAGATTAACAATATTAGTATTACAATTTGAAATGATCATAAAATACATAAATGATAATTTTTACAAATAACTTATACTATGGTCTATGTAACATTGAAACAGTTAAGAAATCTTCATAACTGATATTAATCACACCTGCCATTTTATCGTCTCTTGCTCGAAAAGCATCGGTAAGAAGCCTCAACTGAACGCTAGCAACAATAAAGTTATCTAATGTAAGGGATCGGCGAGTCTTGTAATCAAACTTTGCAATCAAATTATTGACAAACTGGGGTGAAAGTCTGTAACCCATTTCTTGAAATGCTATAAAAAAATTTATCTTTATGATATCATAATTTGATAATTTAAAAACAATAAAATTAATTACAATAATAATATTGCATAAGATATACAGAGTATAGACACAAACATGGCAATAAGTTATATCTTGCATTATTCTTCTGTTTTTAATAACCAAATTCAATTGTTCTAGAGCAGAGGTGAAGGTAATTATTAGGCTATTCATTGAATTAGATGACATGCATCCCAATCCCTTGAATGCTCAGTCATCCAGAGAAACCTCTTAGTTTCACTACTAGTATTTTCAACATTGTCCAGCCACTTTCCCTTTGAGTATTTTAACTTTTACAAAAAAATGTTTTGTACTGATCTTGAGACACAACAACTTTGTAATTTAAAATATGTCATCATCTTTCATAGAACATGAGATTGGATTCCATGTCCCCCAACCTTTGCACGGGGGCAAATCTTAACAAATTTCCCACTACTAATTACATACACTCAAAGCTACTGTATTACACTGAATGTATTATGTAGTTAGTGCAAGATATAGCCTGGTACAATGTGTGTCTATGTTACTGTGAATGACTGATATCTGGCAAATGTCAGCATTCAAACAGTCATTTCGTGTATGTACAAAATATTTGCTAAATATCATCATTTCTCACTTACACCGGCAAATGTCGACATTCAGCATGCACTGATGGTGAATGTTGAATAAAAATATTTTTATTACGTTAAGACAAAAATGCAACTTTTTAATATGTCAAAATAGGAGAAAGCTTAAGTAACGGCACATGTAAAAAAACTGTTGAACCTAAAATAAACAGTACGTTCTAAATCATTAAAGAAAATAATACAATAATAAACTTACACATAAATTATGTGATTGATGTTGTACAATCATATTTATTGCAATAACTTAAACTGTTATGGCACTTTGAGAACCTTGCTTTTACAACTGCATTTATTCGTGGAACACCTCTTTTTGCAATGACAGCGTGTACAGTCGACCACCCTATAACAGTGTAGATAATTCTGTGTTATATGAATTCCATGTTGTACGAGTCACTTAGATTTTACAAATACGTGAGCCGTTCACAGTCCGGCACACGTATTTGTAAAATCTAAGTGATTTGTACAACATGGAATTCATATAACACGGAATTATCTAGTGTTGTAGGGGGGTCTACTGTATAGCCTTACCCTCCACTTTTTGAATTAGCTGTAACTACTTCTCTCAGCGATATTTCTTGAGAAGAAATCTCATCTATGAAAAGTAACTTTTCTTTACAAATTACGAACTGATTACGTTATTACGTGATTATGAACTGATCTGTTAATGGTGTCTTTTATTCGGATATTGACGATGCCTTACTGACGACCCCCTCTCATCCTCTGTTACTTGACCTGACTAACCGATCCCCACCTCACTGGATCAAAAGAACAAAAACACCATTTAGTGACAAAGTGGGTGATTTCCACCAAACTGTTGCTGGGAAAAGAGGTATGATCTTGTCTTACCTCTGACTACCCACAAAGGATTTGGCGACAGACTGTCGTCTCTCTGTCGACATTGGCTTTTCGGGTGTTGTTTTGACCTCAACCAAAGCTTATCTATGCTTGTTGACATACACCGGCGATTGTTCGAATGTATAATAATATAACCAAATAATCGGTTTTTCACCGATGTATTTTGTATGTGTCGACATTCTCTAATTTCGGTCTTTCACAGTAACATCTATACCCTTTAGATAAGACATATTTTTATAATTCACTACAATAAAAATTACAGTAATTTTGGTAATTTTAGAAACTAGCATTTTAAAATGTCTCATTTCATTAGAAGAATAACGAAAACTTACTGATTTTCATTAATATAGTTGTATAAATGTTTATGAAAAAGTAACAACATTATAGAAACATTAGTTTTTAAAAAGCTAAAAATACTGAACAAATATCTTAATATTTCATTTATAAGTATTATACAAGATATGTTTTTCTAGAGAACAAATACAGAAGTTAGTAACTTCAAATTTTATTTTTGATTAATTATAAAAAAAAACGGATCTTTATATATTTTTTAATTATTGTAAAAATTTTGAATTTATATCTGAATCAATTTAGAACTTTATCATTTTGTGAAACAATTTATTATTTGTAATGAAAATTCCCTCAAAACAATAAAAATTCATTAAACTTCAAATAAAACTGAATTTATAATTGTGAGTTAATAATTTTAATAAACATTCACAAAATTTATGAACTGCATGTGTTAAAAAAAATTTAAAAAGTAACAATAAAGCTCTAAATGATTCTCTCTTCAAATAATGTTGCAAGTGTCAAAACAGCAAAATTGAGATTTTTATAATAAATTGTGCACTGTGAACTGAGTTAGCAAATAGTATCTTATTATTAAAAAATTCTGACTGGTTTCTGTGAAAAAATGTTTCTGACTTATCAACTGCATGGAAAAACATTGCATGTGCATATAAAATGGTGGACAAGCAGGTGTTCACTCTTACCTCTTCGACTGCTGCAAATGCAAACTTTAGGAAAATGCAAACTTTAGGCATTGTCAACCCTCAAATTGGAATCATAAGATATCAAAAATATAAAGGAGATCAGGAAATGGATATTTGTTACACACTGGACAAATTTAACCAGCTATAAAGCCCTTGATTGAGATGAGTGGAAAAATATTGCATGGAGCATGCAAAGAAGAATGACACAAGGGACCTCAGCATTTTAGAAAATTTTTTTGTGAGGCGAAAGCATCTGAAAATTACCTCGACAATATGAGTTCAGATTATGTCTGATGTACCTACTGTCATTAGAATAAGACATTCCCATGATTTACAATCTTGAGATGCATTTTCCTTACTGCAGTCGACAAGAAGTCATGCATACCAGGAAGTTCTGAATCGCTTTAATGGCCTTCAGAACATCTGTCTTCCATTTGCATACAGTAGGCTGCTCCAATGAAAAGTGCCAAGAAGAAGGGCCAACTGTCCACATGCAAGTTTCTGAATCTAGAAAATGCAACTTTTATAGATCTCTAAAGTCTGATGATGAAAATAATAATACTGACTAAATTCAAATAAAGCACATTTTTCCATTTGACAATCTGTGCTTTCCTTAAAGGTATTTTTAATTGGCTAGCGAGAACTATTATGTTCAAGCAACATTTTTCCATTAGCATATCTGTTTGTTAAGTAAAAACACGCTGTTTATAAAATGAGGTGTCATAAATAAGAAAGCAGATATTGATTACAAGAGAAATATGTATTTAAGGACAGAACTTCCATTCTGGAAACAAAATATATTCAAATTTTAAAACATTGCATGTGACATATGCATGCAACTTTTTTCTATTACACAGAATGCTTTATTGTCATTTACTGATGTATGTTGCAATGAAAATGACACCCAATTTTTTGCAGCAATGTCATTTCTACCAGTCATTGCATTACCGACCCACTTCAATTTAGGAGTTTTCCAGTTTTTCTTGTGTTTTTCCAGAAACTTTGGAACTTGAAACATTATTTGACACAAGTCTTCAAATGTTATTTAAACATTTTTGTGAAATATTTACTGTTTGAATTCAGTTTGAAGGTAAGCAGTTAGCTCAAAAGTACTTATTGATGTTATAATACTTTTATGGAGCAAACATCCAAACTGAACTATAACATATTTTTGTATAAAACTGTGTGTGTTCACAAAATTTTTTGGATGTTAATAAGAATTTAGTAAATACTATAAAGAATATTTCTAAATCAATAATAGACTAATTTCAATTTTGATTTGGAAGCCAAGCATTTATTAATAGTTTGAACAGTTTCAAATTACATGAAGCAAAGCATCAGAAAACTAACTTTTATTCAAAGTTAATTATCTGAAAATGAACTCTATGTATTTGAAAACATTTAAGTTTTTAATATATACAGGGTGTCCAAATTAACTCAACATTTTCAGCTGGCTATAGCAAAAACTATTCATCAGAAAGTCATGAATGCCTTAATGAGATGATGGAAATTTTTTTAGAGCAAAAAGTTACTTCCAAAAGCCACCACTAACTAGAGAGTGGCTCTTGGAAGTAACTTTTCAATCTGAAACAGTGGCATATTGGTCTGCAAGATCCCCAAACTTGAATCTATGTGATTTTTGGCTCTGGGGCTATCTCAAAGACTTGGTCTACCATGATCCCATAACATTGCTATCAGATCTTAAACTATCAGATTGCTATATACACTGCTTAAATACACAGCATGCAACCATTGAACATACTGTTTTATGCTTTCAGATGGTGGTCATTATATTTTGAACATGTTTTGTTCACATTAAACAGATAACTTGTGTAGCTCATTGTTATGTTCTGTATAAATCTATAATACACTCTCTAGTGGTGGTTTTTGAAACTAACTTTTTTGCTCTAGAAAAAATTTCCATCATCTCATTAAGGCATTCCCAAACTTTCATGACTTTCTGATAAATAGTTTTTGTGTAGCCAGCTGGAAAATGTCTAGTTTAATTTGGGATACCCTACTTTAAGTTCAGAACAAGACTGAAAAGAATTATACTTTCACTATTATTAATTTCTAAAATTATATTGAAAAACTTATTTGTAATAAATCAATTATTTCTTACCTCTTTGTAATTCATCAGTTTCTATGGATCCAGTGCGATTACCATCATATTTCTCAAAAAGAGCTTTCCATTGTTGAATATAAGTCCATATACCTTGGAATTCTGTGACATCAATGGTACCATTTCCATCTTTATCAAACATTGCTTATAAAAAAAAATCAGTTTTAAAACAGAATCTCTAAATATTCTAAAATTATAAAATATTATAAATAAAAGAGCATAAAATTAACATTTTAGTTTGGTAAGTAAAATATGACTCAGAATATCATAATCATTGCAGTTTCTCAGTCCATAAGCTTGTTAAACATATATAAATTAATTAATTTCAAACCTTTTTAAAGTAAATTTACTACTGTAGCAAGAACACAACAGCAATATAAACACAATTAGACTCTTACAAAAGTTTGAAAAAATACATTTGTTTGAGTTAGATTGCATATAAAAGAAAATGCAAACTTTTAAAAGTAATAATTTTTAAAATCTGAATAAGAATTCAACCATCTAATATTAATAAATTGGACCATAATAATAAACTGAAAAAATAAACATTGGCACAGGAAAAGACTTCGAGCACTACTTTGTGCCTTAAAATTATTGCACATATATTAATTTGGCTGAACATTAGAATATCTTTAAGCAGTATGAGTTAATATGGGGAGGGGGTGGGTCTCCAAGTTTCATGGTAGTTAAGCATGTCCTCGTAAATATCAAGTTTATAGAAAAATTATTAGAATTGGTTTGGTTTAATTGGTTACGGCAATGTGACACTGAGCGATCTTCCAGGGTAGATGACTCCCAGAAAGACTTTTATGTAAAGCTTGCCCCAATTTAGGTGTAACTAATGTGAAGAAAATCCAGAAAACTCCATGTGGCCAGTCCGTTGGCCATGCATGAACCCACAATCGACTACCAGTGTTTGGTGATTTATACCATTGTTTATCAACTCGGTTACTGGAGGATACTTATTGGGCTGCAATTTGAAACAATTGTAGACCTATAAATTTGCACTGTCATCTGTCCATCTCTGTCCTTCCTAAATCTCAATGGAGAATGGAGTTAGATGAAAGTCATTACCAGAGACACAGAAATCTTAAGAGAAAGAGAACCAGATTAACTATATGTGAACTTCCAATTGGTACTGTAAGTCATGTTATTTTAATTCAAAAATTTTCCCCTGAATGGAGTTAGATACATAACTGTCACAACTTTGTTGCTAACAGGAAAAGTGTGATGTACAGGGCAAAACATACTACACTCCATGCAGGCAAATGCTGTGATACCTGTCACAGTAATGGCATAATGGCATATCTATTTTTCATTATATCATTGTTGCAGTAATTCAGTGAATATAACATATATATTTTTAAATTATATCCTGTTTTGTAAGAATTATATTTAGTTAATTAATTTGTGAAATTTTTTCCAATAGATGGTGCTACATGTAAAGCCAGTATTCAAATTCAGACAGAAATTAATCAATATACACTGGAACCCCGGTTAACGAACTTAATCTGTTCCGCAACTCCGTTCGTTAACTGAATTGTTCGTTAACCGAAGCAATTTTTCCCATAGAAATTAATGCAAATGCAATTAATTCGTTCTAGTCTCCAAAATTTTTGTCATTTTATTTGAAATATACAGTAATTTTCTTTGATGAAAATGTAAGAAAACGTAGTATCTATCGTTACAGCAACAAACATGTAAACTTTGTTTAATAAAATAGCACTGTACATACCTTCGTTTGTTGTAGTTGGTGGCAGAAAAGTGGAGATATACGAACCTTAATGCTTAGAAGGGGAATCCCCTCCAAAAAATAATGGGTAGCACTTCATTGGAAGATTCTTAGAGTCGAAGTCTCTTTCGGAAAAAAAACCCACCAGTGGCTAAGTGGTCTTCGTACCTTGAACACGGGGAGTTCGTTCGTGGGTTCGCACCTCGCTCAGACGGGCTGGCCACGTGGAGTTTTCCGGGTTTTCTCCACGTCTGTAACGCCTAAATAGGGGCCAGTTTCCCTTAAAAACACCTCCCAGAAGGCATTCCCCTAGGCAGATCGCCCAAGTGTTGCGTTGCCATAACTTAACAAACAAACAAACTCTTTCCGTAAGGAACAAGAAATTGATCTAAAGTTGATTGTCTTACTCTTTTAATCAAAATTTTTCTCAAATGCGATAGCGCATTGTCGTTTATATTGCGTTGTCGTTTTCTATTGCCACTATGACTTTTTTCTTTCTTGGATGCCATATTGATTAAATATATAAATCACAAAACTGAAAAAAGAAGTATAGCACAAACACTCGGAAAAGCAATGCTTAACTCGCGCATGCCTAACACCAACTAAAATTTGACACGATATACCGTTACGTTCGTTATCCGAATTCTGTTCGTTATCTGAGACAAAATTTTTGCAAAATAAAAGTTCGTTAACCGATTTGGTCGTTAACCAGGACGTTCGTTAACCGGGGTTCCACTGTATAAAAATCCAATCAATAATTTGGGATGGGATGCATGACATTATCTAAGTTAGAAGTATATATGAACATAACTGCCAAGTTTCATAGCAATTGGTCAAACAGCCTAGGTGTGCATAGTGAACAAACATCCTCATTTATATATATATATATAGATTTACTCACAGATCAAAATAAACTTGAATTGTGAAATTGCAAATTGATATTGATAAACACAAAAATTTGATATATTTCTGCAGGCAGTGCCGTGCCGTGCTATGCTATGATACAGAGAGGCAGCTGCATCAGGTGACACCTTAAGGGGCGGCATAAGCAGCATTTAAGGAGCGGTATAAGAAGCATTTAAGGGGCGGCATTTCAAAGACTTGCATCATACTGAGAAAATCTACCGCATGGCACTGTCTGCAGGAACATATTGATACTTCTGCATTGATATTGTACTGCAATGCAAGCATTTTTCTCAAAAAAATTCACACAAAAAATGCATATCAGTACACTTATCATTCTAGGCATTTTGATGGCAATTGCTAGTTCAGAGGAGAATTGAAATATAACAGCTATTTATGTAAATGTAAGAACCATACTGAATTGTTTGAAGCAAGTAAACGTAATATAAATGCAAAAATAAACATGTTTGACTTTTCATATTCTGCAATGGAAAATCCATTGTTACATATTACATTTCAATATTTGTTTACAATTTTGTAATGAAGCATTTCTAGCCAAACTTCATATAATACTTTTTACTTATTTCCATTTCAGAATATGCTTTTGCCATTTGGCAGGTTATCCCTGGGACACCCTGTATACAAAAAGAAAAAAAAATAAATAAATAAAACCAAGCATAGAAATCAATATATATATTAGTAGCATACAATTATATATATATAAAGTTTTCATTTATTGTTTTTTCAATTTCATTTTAAATTAAGAAACAGTCTATTCAAAAACTTGTATATATAATAGAAATGTATTTTTTTTCCTGTCCCTTTTCATCTCAGTTATCAACATTGCATTAAAAATTTTCCTATTCTACTAAAATATTTTTTTAATGAATTTTTGGTTGGTGCTGACCAACATGCTGCCAACTGAATGATTTTAATATGCCATTTAGAAAAATCATCATAAAAAGTATTAATTTGCATAAATTTGAACTTTTTTATTCTGAAAAACGTTTTAAATAAAATTTGTTTGTTTCATNGACACCCTGTATACAAAAAGAAAAAAAAATAAATAAATAAAACCAAGCATAGAAATCAATATATATATTAGTAGCATACAATTATATATATATAAAGTTTTCATTTATTGTTTTTTCAATTTCATTTTAAATTAAGAAACAGTCTATTCAAAAACTTGTATATATAATAGAAATGTATTTTTTTTCCTGTCCCTTTTCATCTCAGTTATCAACATTGCATTAAAAATTTTCCTATTCTACTAAAATATTTTTTTAATGAATTTTTGTTAATAGCATATAATTATTTATTAAAATACCTATCATCATACGACAAGCTTCTTCATTAAATTTGGTCCAGTTTCCATTAACAAGAGCTGACTGTAATTCCTGTGCAGTAATTTTTCCAGATTTATCAGTGTCCACAGCTGTAAACCATTGATAAATTACAGGATCTGTTCTTTGTCCAGATTGATTCCAACCTCCTGAAAATCAAACATTATTTACTTAATAAACTTTTATGTTCATGTAATAATTATTATATTATTCTTTACAGAAACTAAATCAATAAGATAGAACTATAAATTAAAATTATAACAAAGTTATTTAAATGTATGACATGTAGAATTGCTGGTAAGTATTACAATAAAAATATCTTACACTTTTGTGAGCTAGAGACATGTAAATTTTTTGCTTCTTAGCAATATCTTTTTTTTTTTTTTTTTTTTATAAAAATTCAATTATTTAGAAAAATAAGTAAATAAAGTAACTCAATTTAAAATTAAATCACCTTGTGGATAACCTTGTTGTGGATAACCCTGCTGAGGATAACCACCCTGCTGAGGATAACCTTGCTGAGGATGTCCTTGTTGTGGATAACCTTGTTGAGGATAACCTTGTTGAGGATGACCCTGCTGTGGGTAACCTTGATGTGGATAACCTTGACTTGGATAAGACATTTTGACTTATGCTGTAAATATAATTACATAACAATTATTAATAATTTTGGCTTTTGTTATTTTAAATAAAAATATCCAAAATATATAAGTTAGAAAGTTACTTGTTATGATGGTATTTTTCATTAAAATATACTTATAAGAAACTATCTTTTAAATTTTACATTATCATATATCAATACTGTACTATATATTTTGTAAACTGGTATTTTTTAAGATTTTTATGAAAAAAATGAAACACCAATGAATTTCCAGTCTTTCATGAATTTCATGAATAAAACATAAAACTGTAATAGTAGAACTATATTTTCTTCTATTTAAAACAAACATTCTTAATAACTAAAATTTTCTTCAAGTAAAATCCAAACCTGAAAAACAATAACTGAATACAAATAGTGCAAAACAGTGGATAGAGAATTACAAATTTATTACCTGAATGTATAGAATAATAATGTATAAAAACAAAACTTTGACTTCTTGAAAATCAATTTTATTGTAGTTTCATAAATTATTCTAAAAATTACAATGTACCACAAAATAAAATAATTACAGGTATGCAAAATTATTAGTATTTATCTATTTTCCATAAACCTGTATCTAAAATTTGGGGGACTGATAGAAAAATGGCATAGCTAACATTAGGAACCTTACTTAATTGTACTGTAAGTGAGTACACGAAAATTCAAATTTTCCTTCATTTCTGACTTACAGAGGCTTAAAACTTTTGAATACTAAAACATTTGCTAAATGAAATAGAATTAGAATAAAAAGTTAAAAAAGCAAACCAGTTTTTCCTTTGAGAGAGACTATTTTTTATTACAACTTATTTATCCCCAAATGCATTTCACCAGTACACTGGTCTCAAGTCAGAAACGAAGGAAAATTCGAATTTTTGTGTATTCACTTACAGTACAATTAAGTAAGATTGGAATATTCTGACTCTATCGTTTTAAATACTTTAAATTTATTTTTATAACATTAGGAAGTTTTAGCAAAAGAAAAGATGAGTTTCATTTCTCCAACACTTTCATATGCAACATTTTATTAATATGAGCGTACAATCCATGGAGCATGTAACTAAACTATGAAAGTTTAAAAAAATTAAAACTAAGAAAATTATGAAGAATTTTCTACTGTTTGTTTTCCTGTTTCTTTGGAGGGGCCCAAGGTCCTTGGGTGCACCACTGACCAGTACTACATATTGGGCTTAATTTTAGATTTAATCTTCTGTAGTTAAGCCCTACTGAAAACTAAATGAAATCAATGAAAATTCAAGAACAGTACACACACACACACACACACACATATATATATAAAAACATGTAATTTTTATTTTATGTAATTTTTAATATGTATATATTATATAAAATATTATATATTAAAATTTAACATTATATAAAATAAAAATTATATGTTTAAACAGTTTACATAGGAACAATCAAAAGCTATGTTAAACTATAGTCAAGTGATAACTAATAATCAGGAGAATAAAGTCAACTACTCAAAACTTGGTGTATGTTAATTAATAAACACTGCACATGTAATAAATATCCAGCAAGAAGAAACTACAAGAAAGAAAACATTTTCATCTGGGTTTGCTTTCTTGTAGTTTCTTCTTGCTGGAAATCAGTGGCATGCAGTCCATGAAGCTGGAAGCACCAATTCCCTTTTATTTTCTAAAATATAAATACATATTGTATGATTATTTTCATATTTTAACATACTTTGATTTACTTAAAATTAATATTTTATTATAACCACATTAAGGATTTTATTACAAATTTCTATACACGTGAAAAACAATGATAAGATTGCTATTGTATATTTGAATATAAATTCGTATATGCATATTCTAAAGGAAGTGCTGTATTGTCAAATATGGTACAGCTTCCATGACAAAAATATTTGAATCGTGTAAAGCAGCCAGATTACAGGCATTTGCACATGTGCATTACAGAGTACCAACCTCTGGTGGTTTAGTTTGTGGATGCTACATACCAAAATACTTTATAACAACACTTCCAATGATTCTATCCATTAGCCACTCATAGGGAACTACTTGACTAAGTGCATTATTTTAAGATTTAAAATGTAAAGAATATTTTATGTTATTTTTTATGTACGTTTTTTTACTTTACAAAGCAATATTTAATTATAATTTTCTTCAAAAGTATATTCATACAATTGAAGAAGATTTTGTACCAGGTATATACATCCACCACATTATATTTTATTTCACCAAGTAAGTTTTTATGATTTTATTTTAAATTTTAGCCCTTATATCGTGGCTAGCGATTCGGAATGTAATTGCGATATTAAATATTTATTTTAAAAAAGTTATGGCTAAAGACCATATAATGAAAAAGAAAACATTATTAAAAGAGAAAGATCAATGCCTAAATTAAATATAAATACTTCAACAAAAAAGTTTTTTCGACATTTTCATGATAAAATTTATGAAGACGTAAAATGGCTTTGTGGATGCATAAAAATGCAAAAAGATTGTTTTGTCGGCTAATAGATATATTGTATCCAAATTAGCAGATGTTATCAAAGCAAGAATTGGCATTTAGAGGACATAGGGAATCTATCGAATCTAATAAGTACAGACGTAATTATATTGAATTTGCTTATTTATTAAGTAGGTCAGATAATCTATTAAAAGTATATTTAGAGAAGTCTACGGTTTTTACTGGCTTATCTAACGAACGAATACGAATGGACACTAGACCATCATTGACTGATTGCCCCTGAAAGTCGGCTTATTACAGAAACACAGCTTTCCTATCATCAAATGTCACGGCACGCCATTGACAACCTTTTTCTTTCCTCTGTTATAAACGGGTAAGAAGAAACATTGCGTTTAATGGTTTCCAGATGTTGAGAACTGTTATGATCTTAGAGTTTAAAGATCTCTACTCGTAAAAATCGCTATTTAATATCTAACAAAGAATTAGTTTAACGGTTCGGACTGGACACCGGTCACGTCCTGCCTGTCTAACTGACCCGAACAAAATACGTCCCCCAATCGCTCGCCCACACGTAAGTGTAACCTGATCGGTTCCAGATTGAACCCAGGTCGTTAGGTTTTCACACGTGCAAAAACAACCGACCCAACAAGAACAATGTACCAGGGGTAAAGACAAAGTGTGAGGTACTGTACAGTACAGTGGCTAGGAAATATAGTGTCGAAATCGAGCTTATTTTCTGTCCCTATATTGGAGGTTGCCGCAAGAGGCGCTGCTGTCAATCGTTGTGCTACACTGGCTGTATCATCCTATGTTTATATTGGTTTTAAGTGGGATTTTTAAGCATAGTAAATGTGCTGTAGCCAAGTAAAAGAATTTAGATCGATAATAAATCATATCACTAGCAATCAATTATTATATAGTATTACTTTATTAACATTTATGAAGGAATTCATTTTATTAAAGCTAATTAAGATTCTTATTAAATCAAATAGCCTACACTGTATTGTCTATTTTTACATTACAGCTGNAATAACGTTCTGAACAAAGATGTACTAAAAGAATTATATGATTTAATATCATTAATTTTTATGGTACCATCTATGAGTGCATCTGTTAAGTGCAGTTTTGAACCATGAAGCAAATTTATACATTTGCAAGGAACACTCAGTCAGAGGAAATATTGTCATCACTTGCATTGCTTTCAATAGAAAAAGTGCTTTTAAATACTTTGATGGAATCAATTACAAGCAATTTTTATGATAAAGTAATTAATGACTTTGTGGAAAAAATTGCCAAATACAGTTAGTTTATAAAAAATAATAGAAACAAGTTCTTATATCTTTGTTTCATGTCAATTATCTATTTTAGAATTAAAATAAACTGTTTATTTTTGTCATTTCCAGTATTTGTTTAAAATTTTTATGGAAACACAGCTTCCCTATCATCAAATGTCACCACACACTGCTGCTGGAAATTGGTTATATGTGCAGTGTTTATCAGTGGAATAGGCAATGCAAGAGCAGATAGGGCATTACCCATGTGAAGTTTATTAAAAGGGTCCTATAAGGAGAGTAAACCAGAGGTGGGATTCAGTTGTAATGCATAATCTGTTTCTAAAATTTCCTCAGTTTGACCAACATGTGCTTGAAGCATTTTCCTTAAGGGATTTGCTTTGTTATTTCTTATAAAGTTATAAATTGATTAAAAAGAATATCATCATTAATAAGATTATCCCGTTGACAGAGACCAATCATACATGTAAGAGGAAAATGGTACTGTGACAAGATGATTTCGGAAACTAAAAGTGATGACTATTGCAAATAGCTGGTCTATGAGCATTGGCAGATGGTGTGAGGTTTGATCTCCCACAGTTTTCTCTGATGAGAAAAGGAGTAAAAAGAAAACATTAGGATTGAGATACAAGGGCAAACAGTTGTACAAAAATTTTTAATGTAACAAATTCAAAAGGTCTAAAGTTGGTAATTTGTTAATGTTTCTTGTGCAGTTTATGAAATTTGGCCAGTACAGTTTTTATAATTAGCATTTCCTTAATTAATCCAAACTGGGAAACAAATTTTCTGTAATTATTCTTTCTGATTGCTAAAGTGAGAAGCAGGTTGAAAAATTCCATTAAAATATATGTTTATGGCATTAATTCTCAAAATTTAATTTATTAAAAGGATTTTAAAAAACATTAACAGGTAAGATATTTTCAGGTTTTATTTTTTAGAAGAGATAGAAAATGCAGGAGAGAGAGGTTAAAATTTTTGAATTTCAATAATAGCTTGGATTCTAGGCTTTTTTCATTAAACATTTAGTATTTTTTAATTTAATTTAAAGTAAGCAATGCAATAATAACCAATAATAGATAATTTTGGAATAAACTTGTGCATAATTGTCCATAGTTTATTTCTCTCCTGATTTAAATCTGCAGTGGCTGTTGTTTGTGCTTCCTGATTTAAATCTGCAAATTCTGTTGTTTGTGATGTCAAACATGTCTTTCATTAATTAATGAAATGTTTTCATAACCTTTTTGAAATGAATGAACTTTAAACCCAAGTATTTCTTTCTGCAAAAGCCTTATCAATTGTCCTGAAATATTTTAATTGGGTTTTGAAGTAAGTATTAGCAAATACGTATGTTTAAAATATGTTTATGACAATTTATATGACAGTCAAAATTTTTTTAAAAGTTTTTCTTCAGTAAAGGTAAGCTTGGCATTTGGAAGTGAAATGTAAAAAATAATAATACAGATAAAACCTCGTGTGTACTACTTCCAAGCACCAAGCTTAAAAACCAAACAAAAACTTCTAAGAAAAATTTTGACTGTCATCTAAATTGTCATAATTTTTTTACATCTCACTTGTCAGATGTTTTTATTTGGACAGAAATTGTTTTTGTTTAATAATTGTATTATTATGTCAAGACATAAGATGACAACATGCAATTCAGTCAGTATTCTGCTGCCGATCAAATGCGCCCCAACAGAATACTTTCAATATACACTTTGGTCAGAGTTGACCAAATGCATCATCGACCGACACTTTCAGTAGGCTGTTTAAAAAAATAATAATAAATTTTAATTCACATAAATTTGAGCTTCTGTAATTTTGAATAAACTTCATTTGTTCCCATACAATTTTATCTTTATAAGCATAAAATTAAGCCATAAAACTGAATTAGCTCTGTGGGAAACCTCATGAACTTTGACCTACTAACCTAGAAGTCTCGCCAGCACCTCACTAATAACAAGAAAGCTTAAGTTTAAAATTTGAGCTTCCTGGATCCAGTAGTTTTTCTCTACAAGCATCTGCAGTGCCAGACGAAGAAAAAGAAAATACAGCTTTTTTTTTGGTAATTTTTGCACTTTTCAATTGCTTATATTTTGGCAACTGCCTTACACAAAATCTTGATATTTTGCACACTACCTAAGAAAACAATTTTCTTTCAAACGAGATATTTGAAATTACTTCAGGTGTTTGGGGGACGGAGAAATCGACTCCCGAAAATCGGCACCTGATTCCTGTATATGTAGTCAGTCTGTGACTTTTTTACTTGCGGAGAGTCAATGCCTTGACTCCTGATATGCCAAAATTATATTTAACATTTTTTTTAAACACAGTATATTAATAAAATCATAAAACAGTAACAACTCCATCAAAAATTAGCAAGTACTGTAATGATTAACAAATATAATTACACTATAACAACTGTCAAACAGTAACATCAAAATCTAATAAGATTATTATTATAATTATTGGATGGAGAAATGTATAAGTATGTGATTAAGAATTTGAAGAAATCTTTCAAGAAACTTGCATCGTTTGGTTTTGAAAAACTAAAAATATTTATAATTAATAATTTGTTAGGTTAATAATGAAATTATTTCATAATTGTAGGCTCATATAATTTTAAATGTACGTGAAATGTAACAAAAACGTAATAAAGACATAAATCAATAGGATTTACCTACAGTTAATATGAGTAGAATATCTTCCCTATCAAACGTGATTTTCTAACTCCTTTACGCAACTTCCGCTTAGTCACCAAGCGTCTCCCTCTAGTGTCAGAAAACATAATTTACTTGACTATTTCTAATATCAGATACGATTAATGCTTGAATTGCAAAAAAAAAAATTCAGAATGATGTTATGCTAGATTAAAAATGTTAGCAATTCATTCAATATTTCTATTTAATCAGGTTTGCAGATTCTATGGTTGAGATTTTTTGGATGCTTATCCGTAATCAAATATAATTAAATCATTCTACTTTAATACATAAAGACAGGAATATTTTTTAGCCGGTACAACGTTCCGGCTGAAAAATATTTCTATCTTTACCGGCTGATAGCGTAAAATTATTAGCAGTATCGACTATCAATATACAGTCGACCCCCTATAACGCGGTAAATACGTTCCACTTTATAAGAATTTCACGTTGTAAGAATCCTTAAATACATAAGCCAATCACAGCCCGGACGTGTGTAGTTTAAGGACTACGGCTGTTTGAAAGGTTTTCTTCCATAAAATTAATCGATTCTAGACTAATTTGACTCAACATTTCCAAAACACGTATAATTTTTTTTTGGGAGTAATCCATATAAACTATGCTATAAACAAAAAATTGTAGGATTACTTACCGAGTGTGCACCGTTCGACGACGCCATTGCTTAAGCTTGTTTTCGTCGCGGAGCAGCGCACCAAACGGCGGGCGCGGTTTCTAATAAATTATTTTTCTGCGAAAAATTCGCTGAACTTTGGAGACATCATTAATATAAATAATTTTTATGGCCGTTGAATAAGAAATGTTTCTTTCACAAGAAATGTATAAAATTACAGTACTGTATTAGACTTAAAGTACCTAATTTATATACTGTACGGACGATAGTAAACTCAACTTACCCGCCTAAACTCTCCATAGCGTGTAAATAGTTTGGCTGCTCATCCACTATTGGTCTAGATTTGACCAATCCTGTCGCGACACGAGTCGGCGATGACGTTTTTTTTCGCCGCGATATACGAATCCGCATTATATGAATCCACGTTATAGAGGGTCGACTGTATATCAATACTGTAGTACTGGCAGTTGCTCAGTAAAACAATACTCTATGTTCAGTTACCATGTATTAGTAACCAGAAAAAAAGAGCAATGCATAAGATATCTGATAATTTGTTTGGCCAATGGTTTTTTAAACTTTCTCCGTCCTATCGATATTAAGAGGGTTTTTTAAAAACAAATACATAATCGGTTCGGCAAATCCATTATATGGCGGCATAATGTGCATGGACAATTCCCAGAAAATTCCTGGAATTTTTTCGATCCGTCTGGATGCGATCCTGGATCTCCCAGAATGATAGGTTGCCATTTTAATCGCTCGGCACCCGCCCGTCATGAAAACCGGGTAAAGTCTTCAGCGACGCCCACAGACTATGAAAAGAGGCACAAGCTATAGAAAAGGGCATCGTTACAGTACATTATGCAAGGAGCTTTATACTCTATAATTCAACGTCTTCCACAAAGTGGCGCTGGTTGCACTCAGAGCTAACTTGGCCTTGAAAACAAGGAATAGCGTTTTGGTCAACACACTAGGAAGTTGCATGGATCAATGGACAAATATCGTTTTTAGTTTTTTTTTTTTTATTTGCTGAATAGACTAGAAGTCACGAATTTTTTCTTGTTTAGGGCCATCTTGGGAATTACAAAAGGGCAACCGGAAGCACGTGCCCCAACGTACGGGTGCTCATGAATATCTTAGATAGAGTCAGAAATAGACTATTTGAAAAGAGATTTGAAAAAACCTGCTTTTTTCAGTGATAATGCCGTGTACTGATGTTAATTTTATTACAATTTCAGTTGTATTTTTCAATTTTCGTTTTTTTCAATTATTACTGTAAGATTTATTAAATTCATGTTTATGATTTCTAGTTTTCTTTGGAAAAAAAACGAAAACAACACAACGAAGATTTACGATCTCATGTGCAAAGTATTTGTTAAAGCACTCATGTGCAAAGTATTTGTTAAAGCACTAAAGGTCACCCAACTATTATAAATGTCAAAGGGCAGATAGAGCAGAAGAAAGCAATGATCAACGTTTGTTGAGCATCATCATGATAAAGCTACTTCCAATCAACTTCACTGTCACGAAAGAACTCTACTATGAACAACTGAATCGTTCGAAAGACCGTCCAAAAATTGACAAAGTCCGATACCGCCACGACATTGTACCAATACATAGACCAAGGGGATGATTTTAGAGAAGCTGACCAGTTTGAGCTGAAAGGTTCTTCTTTATCTACCTTACAACCCAAACTTAATGCCAACTGACTATCATCAATTTCGCGCCCGCAGAATTATATTGCCAATATACAATTTAATGGCAATTCCCGACGTTCGAGACTTTCTTCAAAGAAAAACTCGTCATTCTATGCTCAAGGAATTAAAAGTTTGTAGCAAAGGTGGCGAGATTGATGGATATTGATGGTGATTATCTACCAGGCTGAACTGTAGTCGTTGTTGAATTAATTGTCAATAAAGTCTTCCATGCCTTTTTAATTTCAGAAAACGTTTGATGACGTAATAGGCGAGGTGATGGCCTCCGTCTCTGAAGTGTCCTCCGAAGGCGTGTTCTTTGCCCATCAATCTGTAGGTATGTTTCCGACTCACTGGACAACCGAGGAACAGCTTTCTTTGTTTTATGTTTCTGACGGCCACCGAGTTTCCATATTTATTTGGGTCTTCTTGCTTTTGCTTCTCGGCTTGGCCATTTCTCGAGAAAATGAGCTACCAGAGATGACCAGTTTTTCTAATACTAATACGATGAAAAAATTCGTTTGTTAAATAATAATCTACGTTTATTGTTATTTTTTTATAATAGTGTATTCATTTGTATACGTTATTTAAAAGTGTAAAAAAATTATTAAATATTATGAATAGCGAATTGATTCGATATTAATGTATTTTTCCTCTTTCATTAATAGGATCTTTTAATCATACTCATCCTGTGTTCGGCAAATCAGGCCGAACACACGATGAGTATGATTAAAAGGAGACCTTACGGCGAGCCTTAACACATAGGGTCTTTCCGCAGGGTTTCTTTCAGGGGGAGTCCGGGAAGGGAAATTCAGAAATTGAAAAATACCTCTTCATGTAACCGCGTCATAATTAAATTTAAAAATAATAACAATTAAAATTCTGGCCATTATACCGAAACCGAATTAAAAATAAAATCAAAACTAATTAAAATCAAATCAGTTGAAAATTAAAACGTTTTTAAAAACCGTTTAAAATTTTGAAATTTTTAAAATGTAAATCGGAGTAATTTTAAAATTTACGTTATTTGTGTGTGCTGGTGACGGAACATTTTGCTTTTAATATATACTCTATACCCGGGGTGGCCAAGCTCCTTGATAGTCCGAGCCATTTTTCAAAATTTGAAATTTTTCGCGAGCCGCAATTAAATACGTATTAAAAAGGTATGCAAAAAATTCCAGATTACAAATTATATCCGTAGCAAGAGTGATACAAATTGTTTCCTCCAGAGCACAATGTCAACTGTCCATTGCAATGACAGTTTACAAATTCAAAATCGGTCTGAAGTCGGTCGATAACGGACGATTACGCCACTGTTTATGTTCGTTCGCGCAGTTTTCGATGAGTCATATCATTCTTAACTTGGACGGAAATGAAATTTGTTACAACGTTGCACTTAGTCTTTCATATTTGTTGTTAGTAATTTAAAGGACATTTTGAAACATACGGAACGATAATAGTTTTTTAAAATATAATAACACAAAAATGAAAAGGGAACTCGGGTACATTTATCGAGAGCCACAAATAATCCTTGAAAGAGCCGCATGTGGCTCGCGAGCCGCAGGTTGGCCACCCCTGCACTATACATATAAAAATTAATAAAAGTAATATAAAAACTAAAACTAAATCTATATATAATCAAAGATACTTATTCAAAAATCAAACTTAAAATATTAAAATAGTTGCTACGGGAGCAAACAAATAGTAGTATCTTTCACTCCAAACCTGAGTGAAAAGTGAAGTCTTTTTGTGTCTCTTATCCTTATACAAAGACCTTCCTTCCCCCTTTTTTTAACCATTTTTACGAATTCATGCAGAGTCCACAGAGGAAGTTAACGAGTGGTTGTTCTTGGTAGATCTCGCCTGCGACCCGGTGTGACCTACTTACACACTGTTTCTTTGTAAAATGTTGGTTTCAGTTTCGGTGAGACGGAACATTTTGCTTATAATATATATAGAGATGAACAACTAAAATTGTATGTGGCGCTATCTGTTATGAGATATGTTTATTATAAAAATTTTATNAAAACAAATGAAAAATGCGAACTAATGTAACGTCATATGGTGAGTTTTTGTTCGTATCGTGAAGCAAAAATATGTTCGAATTTCATGTCGTATCCTGAAAATTTCGTATGCTGGGGCGTTCGTATCCTGAGGTACCACTGTAATTATTTTCTGCTGCTAAAAAATAATTTCAAAACGTTACCAGCGAATTGCGTTGCTTTCTCTGTTTTTATGAGATTTTATTTTTAAAATAACATATGTAATCAAAATAACTAACTAAAATCGTATGTGGCGCCATCTGTTATTTTTGTTATAAAAATTTTATATATTTTTAATTATTATAAAGTAGCAAAAGACTTTGATAGAGATGAGTTTTATAAAACTGTAAATGCTAACAACAAGTAAAATCTTCATTAAGTCCGAACCCTCGCGAGATGTGACACGTGACCACCTTCTCTCTGTCCACCCCCTTGGCCTTTCCAAAATTTAATATAATCAATGCTCCTTATATACAAAGCTACAGTGCCAAATTTAGTTTCTTTATCTTCGTTCCATCCTGAGATATTAAGAAAAATAGACACCAACACACAAATACATATCCACGTAATTTTGGGGGGTTCAAAAGGTCTCAAAACATGGAGATTTGCAAAAAAACTCGAAGGGTCAAATTTGACACGATTTCAATACTTTTCCTTGTTATATATACATACGAGTAACAGCCCGGAAAGTAAAAGTAAATATTGCTTG